GAAAAAACGACAACAAAATCAGACAAGAGAAAACCGAAACTCGAGCTTCCCAGGGAGACGATGCCAGGTCCCCACGCTCGTCATTTCAGAAACGACCAAAAAGTCCCCCGTATAAAGCGCCACCACCAACTCCTCAGGTATATATGTATATACCAACCGAAGCACAGCAGGTGAGGTGACCCCGAAAACCGTTTAGACACGCCACCACCTTAAACGGAAGACGGCGCTATACTTACAAAAGGCTAGCTATACCAGCACAACAAACATCCGCACAAAACAACATCCCCACAGCGGCATTTAAAGAGACGAGCAAGTCCGAAGGATAAAAAAAATATATAGAAAAAGACAGGCGAACTTCTCTTGACCGAGACATGCTTGGCTGAGCTCTGTTATTTATTTTATTTTTTGTCAGGCTGATTTTTAAGACGTCGTGAACCTTTTCACGTGTCCACCCTAGACCTCCGTCCAACGACGCCATATTCTTTCGTCCACCGTACTCTGTTTCACCTTATGATGGACCGCTGCGGACATACAACGAGCCACCCCGGCCAATCCAACGCCGTGAACGTGCCACGTGACCACGCGTCGCTGCGCACCTCCCGAATGTCACGTGAACACTCGCGCGGCATTGAATTGGCCCAAGTGCTATATATACACCGTTTTACTTAATTAAAGCCGTCCGCAGCCAACGCTGTACTACCCGATAGAGCCGATCGAAGCAGCACCGAAACTGCATCGTCACGGCGCTTGTCGCCTTTGTGCGTATGCATATCACCGGCCAAACCAAACACGCACAGAAAACGCAGGATAGCGGCGCATTTTCTGTGCGTGATTTGAATGGATGTATCAATGTTAATGGCTATAGCCTATACCCTTTGTAACGGGCGGTAGCTTGCGCAACCTAGCCTAAGTCGGCGATAGCAAGCCCACAAAGACGACGAGCGCCATGACCATGCCCTTTTGTTTGGACCAACGCGTTGTTTACAAACCAGCGCGCGTTTGGTCACAACAGGTGTGGGCATGCATATATTGCGCGTGCGCAGAAGGCAGATTCGCGTCGGATGAAGCGTCTGCGGCGCCTGCGCGGTGCCGACAGCAGCGCTGCCACCGATGTCAGAGAGTCAAGACAGCGCCCAGCACAACGTCCTCCGCGGTCCATGGTCAGGTGAAGCGGAGTACGAAGTCGAGGTGAGTTTGTGCACGCCAACTCGCGAACCGTGACGACCTCACTTTGCGAGTCGTTTAGTCACGTGACTTGCCTCCTCCCAAAAGTGGTGGTCCTCTTTAAAATCCCGCGGCTAGAAAGAAAAAAAAATCAAATAACGGGGGGAAAAAAATGTGCCTCTCTTTTCAGACAGTGGTGACACTCCGAAGGAGGGCGGCAGAACTTCCCAGGCGACGTTCTAAAAATCTGCAAAGGGTGCCCCCGCGCGGAAGCCCTCAAGCGGAACATTGCGCGCGAATTTGCACTTCCTCGGGTTATGGGCACCTTCGCTTTCGCTGCTTCGTCGTATTATTTTGAACATGTTTTCTGTTTCGCTTTCTCCCGGCCGTAATAACTTCTCGACAGGTTCCGTCCCTCTTAGCTATCCACTTTGGCTGCCGTTTCCCTTTCTTGCTCTTTACTTTCACGCGTCAATTTCCTTTCTGGATTTTCTTTTTTTTTTTCTTGTTTTTTTTTTTTTCTTGCGTTGAGCGTTTCTATTTTAAACCCTTTACGCGCCTTTATTACTTTTTCTCTTCATCTACGTGCTAAAAGGGAAACACATCCTTTTAGAGGGTCTCAGGCGCACGCTACTTTGGGGTACAGTACCATGTTTTACCATGGATGCCTTTATCTTGTGGAGCCCTTCTAAACCCGCTCACATTTTTGTTTTCCGTTCGCCCTCTCGCACTTCACATTTATATGCCTAAACCGTTCCTGGTCAGGACTTTCATCTAACACGTCGTCAAAACAATGTAAAAAAAAAAAAAAGACGAAACGTAAGAACAAAGAAGCTAAGCACAATCGAACGTGTGCGCGCACGTGACTCAACTCCCAGAAACGTGGATCTTCCGCAAATGGCACCATTGTCTCCCGTCCGCTGTGTCGTCGGATCGGTTTCGAAACGGCGTCATGACGCAACGGGTATCGCCATCGTATCGATCCTTTTTTTTTTTTGCTTTCTTTTTAGACAGAAGAACAGGCCGTGGATCTTCCCCTACCGATCTCTATCAAGGTCTTCGTTGTTCCGCGTTGTAACCACGGAACGAGGGGCGGAGAAACCGTCGCCGGTACCGTACATGTTGCTGCACAAAGTGCGCACCATTAGTTCCCAGAACGCAAGCGAAGGGTCGCTGCAATCGCCTCTCTTAAATAACCCGAATAAAACAAATTAATTTTTTTTTCTTTTCCGTTTTTAGATTCTGACATGACAGACAACTGGCACGCCAAGTCGGAACAGGGTTCCCAGATTATATTTTCACGAGAAAAAAAAGTTAAGGATTTGAATGACATGGTCCTTAGGCTACACATGATGATCAAAACCTGATACTAGAGTGGAAAAAATAAATTAAAACAATCAGCGAGAAGAAACAAAAAAGGGGGGGAGGGCAGGGTTGTCTACTCCCCTTTTGTTCGCGTTCGACACACACCAGCGCACCTGCACGTTATGTCATTTTTTAATCTTTAGTCTACTATATTTCCATTTCGATGCAGAAACCACATATGGAAGTGTAGACTCTTTGCAACAGCTACGCATAAACTCCGCCACAAAAAAAAAAAAGCTTGCAGTTTTTTTTTTTTTTTTTTACTTTACTTTATTCCTACCAGGGCAGGATAGGTTATTGCCATTTCAGGTTCTACTGCGCACTTCTCCCCAGTATTGGCCTTTGTGGATCGAGGCTCTTCAACGCCCGCGGCATGTCGGTAAAACAAGAGAAGGTCAGTAATGGCGGCTGGTATCGGGCTAGTGTGTAAAGCGTCGATAAGTTTCAGAGAAATAAGGGTTCTCAGTTCTTTCTTACTGCACAGCAGTAGAAAGAAAAACTAACTTTCTGAAGCAATCATCAGTTCGAAAGCATTTGGGAATATTCCCGGAATCGAAAAAATATTCAGTGAAACAAAAAAAAAAAAAAAAAAAAAAAAAAAAAACGAAAACGTCTTGCAAGATTTTGCCCGCCTCAGTCTGAGAAATGTACACGCAACACGTGATTAGCCGCCTTTTTACCGGCAGAAGTGACCACAGAAGGTGTCGAAAGAACAACCACTTTAATTTAGACATTACTTGGAGATTAAAAATAAATATGTGCACGCAGCTATGATGTTTAAAGGCCCGTTCACACGTTAGACGTTTACAGTTTGCTACGACCGACTGACACACGACCTGTTTTTAAGCCTTTCGTGACGGCTTACGACCAGCTACATTGCTGAGCAGCCGCTTGTAAGCCGTCGCAAGACGCTTAAAGACCGCTTTGTCTACATAAAACGTAAAAAAAAAAAAAAAAAAAAAATTGGGTTGTGTGTACGTTTATAGAGCCTAGAACTTACCGCTCATTCACACTGGAAGCGGATCTGCGTTCGCAAAGCGGTTGCGAGCGCGGTTTTATAAAGATCCAGTACAATTGCACGCGCACTCCATGTCATCAAGTGCGCGTGCAATTGTACTAATTCTTTATACAACCGCGTTCGCAACCGCTTCGCGAACGCGGATCCGCTTCCAGTGTCAATGAGCGGTTAGTCTGCCTGAACGGGCGACTTGTCTCCCAGCTGTAGAGAGAAATTTAGCCAGTGCAGTACAACCGCTAGCCTGGGGTCTTTAACGTGTATCACGCAGTAGTGATACACAACCGCACGCCGGTAGTACGATGCTCATCCAGATCGAAATGGACTGCAGGGGTGGAGATTGTACCCAGGGTTTCTGGGTTCTGCAGCGCGGTCTTTCGTTCCACGTGCTCCGAGTCAGTCAGTCGTATACCTCTGTGAACGGGCATTCTCGTTCACACAATTACGTCGACAGCGTTGGGTCGTGTAGCACAGCGCCTCCCCATTGGCTCGCCTAGAGTTCCTGTATAGGCTCCCTACGGGAGCCAGAGTTGCGCGTTCATGGATGGCATGTGGATACAGCTCCTCATGTGACTGAATTCGGCGAATAGCAGCGCCGCGCGTTCGAGGCGCGCGGCGCGCTCAAAAGCCGGGGAACGTACGCCGAGGCGCGTGCAACGTCTACTTTGCTGCACGACACTTGAGGTCGCGGCACTGAAAGCTGCAGGTATATTTGAATGGTTTTAGCATCATTTTCATTTGCCGATTTCACAATAACTATAATGAATTTCGCGATACTAAATAGCATACCGGAAAGGGTGAAGGCCGGGGATTCAGAAAATACAGTTAGTTAGGGTAGCTAAAAAAAAAAAAAGATTAAAAAAAAAAAAAATCGCCGGAGTACCCCTTAGCAAGACGCAAGTGGTTGCAGTCGCACTCCAACGTCCAACCCAAATGTGTGAAGAAGCCTCGATTCTTCTCGGTCATTTATTGCGACAGCTGAATGCGGTGAAGGAGTAGACATTTCCACGTTGCAATGACTTATTTTTCTTTTATGCTTTGTTTTGCTTTGCCGAACCAAGAGAGCGCTTATAGCGCTAAATCTTCCGCTAGCGGTCGAGACAACCTGCGGACGAGAGAACGCTTGTGCACTGCAGTATCCACGCTTTCACGCTTTAGCCCTGCACCGACAAAGGACCTGCCGCTAGCGCAACGAGATACCAGACTCGCCAAGACAGCGGAGGCGGCTGTCTATGCCGTTCCGAGAGGTTTCCACGACGATAGATGACGGCAGTCACCCCTCCCAATTCAAAGGGGGGAAAACGCCGAGGCGCGGCCCGCGTCCACCCGCTCCAACCACGGAAATTCTACCGGCTCCAATGCCATCGAATTTTCACCGGGAGTGAGATATGTTCTAAAGTATTCGGTGACCCTATACGCAGTGTTCGCGACGCGATGACGGATCCGAAACACTCACCACCACCATCTCGGAGGGCTCCAAGATGAGACATTCGTTCATGCGGCGACCCGTGCCTCCCGACCGCTTGCCGAAGCTGCAAAGACAAAGAACGAGGGTTACTTCTGTTACTGAATCATCCAACAGTTACAGTTGCACGCAGAGGGCCTCCAGCGAAAGCCCACTACCGCGTACTTACCGGCACGTTCTGTAGCGTGTATTTAATCGTTAGGCGATATTAATTAAAGTTCCTACATAAAAGGCGACAGCAGGCACTACAAGATGCCGGCGCGAAGCACAGTCCTAGTTGGTACACCACGATCTTCCCCAAAATTGTGCTTCGTCATGCATGTTTCGTTACTTCGCAAGTGGAAGCCCGTCGCCAGCACGCGCTCTCCAGCACCAAACTCAGCAATGGCCGCCAGTTTTTAAGAAATAACAATCCAGCGTGCAATTCGAAGGGGGAAAAAAAAACAGTCCAATATGGAAGCACGCGCCAAACACACCAACAACTCAAATGGCAGCTGCCACAAGCTCTTCTGTGGAACGGTGTGCAAATTATACAAGACCAGTGAGAGTAAAGGGTAGAGGACATTGACGCGTTGGCAGAGTCCTTGGCTCGCCGTAAAGACGCTGCTGACGACGTGACACGTGCAATGGCGCTTTTCCCACCCCACCGCCCTGCCTCGGCGGGCAGCTTCAAGGCGAGCAGCCCACGCGTGGGAACGAAGCCACCAGTGCCGGCGTACGCGGGAGTCGCTTCTTCTCGGCGAAGACGAGCACGGACATCGGAAGGGCACCTACATACGCCTCGTAACCGACTCGTCACACGCATACGCGTGAAAGAACCAGTTCCGCTCTCTTTTGTTCCGACAAATACGGCCCTTTAGAAATCGAGCCGCTCTCTGTTTACTTGGCCCCGCACGAGGGCTGCCAGCATCAGTGACTTTTCTTCGGCGTCGGCGTGCCAATCGGAGCGCGCCCTGTCCCGTTTCTATTCTACACGCGGAGAGAGCTTTTTCATTTTATTGCTTCTCAGTTTAAAAAAAGAGAACACTATTTGGAAGTCGGTTATTTGCTACCGAGCTCGTCGTTTCGCTTAGGAACCAAGGATGGGTACGTACATCAACTCAATCCCGTTTCTGACATCACACCAACACCATGTGGCCCTGTCTCTGCAACGGGGCATGGCCAGACGCTCTGCTCTCTTGAAAATGGGTACGCGTGCACATGGGAAGTGCCCATAGCTCCATGTATATAAATTTATAAAAAAACATGACCTGTTGGATGCATTTACACATACATACGCAGAAGAAAGCAGAACATTGAGGTGCCTTTTATGAAGAACATGGTTTGCGATAAATGTATCGCTTAAACGGAGAATTTTTTGAAGTCGGACCCCTGTGTAACTCGGAGACCGTGAACCTCAACTGAGCGAAGTTCGTGATATGGAAATCAATCTGGAGTCGAAACATGGGGCGATGATCATGAGTCTTTGATTGGCAGCCTCAAAACAGGCGACATCTCCTCCTTCTGGAAGACGGCGTTCACTCCAGAGAGCGAACACGTCGCGAAACCATGGCCAATCAGTCGATTACGATGACCGACAGTGTATCACAGTTAGCCCGTGAACCTGTAGCCGTCGTAACAGAACCGCCAGATGACCATCGAGTGTTTCGGCAGTGTTCAGCCTGAACAAATGCGTCTACAACATAGGAAACATTGAGACATATTACGTGCTTGAACGAAGCCAATCAGAAGCCTAGAAAGCTGAATAGCGTCGAGTATCATCGTGCGTTGTATGGCCCAATACGCGTCCCGTTTCCAAGAGGTCCCACTTCACCACGATTCAATTCAATGTTTATTTGATGGCGCGAAGAATTCGTTCTCACAACCTGAAACCGACTGCTTCAGGTGAAAGAATGTATAGTATATACGTATATGACTCTAGCTACACGACCACAGTATTGTCTTCGGAAAGAGACACTCGCGCAGGTAATGTGAAGAGTGCACGATAAAAAGTGCTTTCGCTCCCTGCTTAAAAAAAAAAAAAAAAAAAAAAAAAAAGAAGACGCTTTTTTGCCAAAATGAAAATCGGTGCTTCAAATCCCTTTCGCGGAGGGTCGCTCTCAAGCCCTCCCTAATTATCGACCGACCATTGCCCAGCTCTCGGAGACGAGGAAGAAAGGAGTCCCAATAACAGGGACGAGGTACACAAAGCGCGAAATCGAAACGAGTCTGTTACGCAATGCCGTACAAAGCCCCTGGGGATCAGACATGCCGAAACGCGGCGGACGGCTCCGAGAGGGTTGCGAAACCAGCGAAAAGTACCGCTCCTCCCCGAAGACCCATAGACTCCATTCGCACCGAAGCCGACAGTGCGGTGGCAGCTACCTGCTCGCCGGACCAATGAACCGCCAACATTTTATAACCTGACCGCGCACTCTGCCCGTAGGTAAGGGCGGAAGACTGATCACGTGGTTGCAGATAAACACAGGACTGGTCCAACGAGCACATGGCTTCCACCGCCTTGTCAGCTTAGGGTTGACCGGAGCATAGTGACCCGAAGGCAGGTCGACCGTGAACGCTCGCTTCTCGGCCGGCGGCGAATTAGAAGACAGCTTTTCGGAGTGGTGGCGGACGGAGCGGAGTTCGTCCTGAAAAGGGGTGCTGCCTCCTTTACTCTACGGAACGCCGACATTCAGACGAGGGCAATTTGTGGGAGGTTCTGGCACACCGACGCGAAGCCGCTTAAATCCGCTGAAACTGGGTGAACTAGGCCGTACGTTTAACGAATAGTAGGTACTTTGACCTGAGATGCACTGTGCGACACCGTTAGCGCGAACACGACTTCGCCGCTTTTTCGCATTTCACTTCGAAGGCCGGCATCAAACTTCACCACTTAGGTTAGCACCCCAAATGAGCGCTAGCTTCCTACCACCATAGTAGTATTGATGGAAAATACAGCCTCCCAGTGGCAAGAGGTGGTTTATTCTAGCTGTTAAGGTTGCATGTCGATTGGATACCGATAGCCATTCTCGTTGGTTCAACTGATCAGAGGAAGATTCCGATTAAGAATCCGGCCGTCCGATTATAACGCTTCATTTTAGAGATATCGACAACGAAGTCACACGTACCCTTCACGTAATCATAATTTTTTTTTTCTTTTACGCTTACACTTGATGTTTTTATACACACCTCTACTACATTCGCGACACAGTCCTCAACGGAATGTTCCATAGAGAAGCTTCGCCGCTTCGTACACGGCTCCCCTTATCAACAAAATCTAAATAAAAGACGACTGAATGGTGGAGACATCGCCGCAGCTTGTCGTCTACCCGTCTGTGCCCTCAGGTAATGCGTGAACGATTGGAGTATCGGATTGCAAAGGATTACCACTTCCACCCCCCCCCCCCCCCAAAAAAAAAAAAAAAAGAAACGCGATCATAAATATTTTACATCATGTACAAGCGCAAGATTATCTGCCCCATAAATCTGCGCTCAATTAAGTATACACCAGGGGAACTTACAAGACATTGACGAAAACTCCCCTCGTATCCGACATACAATCAATTTACCCCATGCCCCAAATAATGTTCAGGGCAACGCTGCGATATCGTGCGATCGTGCGGCTCCAAATCTTGTGAAATCAGAACGAACCAGGATTGAGCTCAAAGCATGTAGAGAATGTAATTTTGTGTTTCTGATATTCCCTTGGCTTTAATACATCTCACATCATCGAAGCGTGTAGCACCGAACAAGACGGCAACGCTCACTTTGCCATTTAGGTAACACGTTCAGCATTTCGGTTATTTACCAAACAGTAACGAAGGCAATAGCATATATAGCCAGCACCTTACCTCGACTCGAGGTTGGTTGATAGGAAAATTGGCAACGTGTTCAAACACGACATTGTGTGAATGGAAATACGTATCCAAGCACGCGCTACAAGGTAAACACGTTGGCAACTATGAGATAATGTTTTGCGGGAAATCACTTAAACTCATGAACTGCGAAAGAGCGAGCACTGAAACAAGGTAAGTAAAAAAAAACAAAAGAAAAAAGGTGACCGGTAGAAACAAAATTTGTGGCGAGGTAAAAACTGACATGTGGCCGATATGACTCACGCGGAGCGCTGATCCATCAAACAGCATCTGCCGCACATTTTCGCTCAGACAGCAACAATGCACGTTTTCCTCTTAGTCCTACACAGCAAGCCATGTTTCAAGCAAAAGCAACATAGAGTTTCCCTCAACGGCACGCAGATCATACTGTCGTTGTTTCCCCGACAACAAGATCTGAGATTAACACTGTGGTGGCGAAACCAAGAGTACTATATTCGAAGCTATTAATATATATTTATAGTCGGGGACATCGAATAAACGCGGTGCTAATTACTATCATTCATTCCACTGAGGAATGATGGCGTGTGTACGTAGAGGTTCCATTTCGGCCTCCGGAGCGCAAGGTGCTGGGTCCCAACCCGATGTGATCGCTTCCTCGAAATTCTCCCCATAGTGAACATCGTGTGTTACAAGTAACATCAACCGAGATACGGCAACTTTAAAACCTATATAGGACGAAAGAAGAAGCTGGTTTTGGTGGAAGAACATCCACCAAAATGTGCTTTGTTACAGCTGCTGCCAATGTCTTCCCAAAATACGCACCGTCACTCCAGTCGGGGCAGTAAGGAATGTTGTTGCTTTTAACAAACGCCAAGTGCACATTTTATCTAAGACTTTTCGTGTAAATTTGGTCTTCAGGAGAACCTCCTGAGGTAAACACTCAGAAGCTTATGCATCTATAGCTTCTGACGTTATCAATTAGTCCCTGAACAAACAAACAAACAAACAAACACGCACACACACACAGACAGACAGAGAAACGCGAGAACAAACGCCAAGCACACCCACCCAAAAACCCAAGGATCTCATCGTCACGCGCTGTCGCCTTTCATCCCCTTCCTTCTTGGCTCATATGTCAGCTCTTCTACAGCCCCCAAAGTGAGCCCCATCTTCATGTGACAGTTAGTCTGGGCCACCACTACAAAAAGTAATCTGGACAAGCTGCTAGGACTACAGAATAAAGTATTGTGCC